ATAATCTATGGGTAACTTCCAATGTATATGGTATCAAGGATTAATCTCCCCCAAGTTAATGCGGTTATGTTGATAGAATAATGGAGTGATAGTTAAAGTTTCCTGTGAAATAATATTTACGTTGCCTTCCTGATAGTCGAAGTATGTGTATCAATTTAATTAGGACATTTAAGAAAGATTTATCTGGAGCATTTGTTCAGGAGAGCTGATATGGCCTTCCTGGCTTACTGGGCCAGCTGGATGTGGCCTGCGGGGCGCAGCTTGGGGAGCTTTGCTATGTTCCATCAGTCATTATTAATTCTCCTGAGCAGCGTTGAGTTGTCTGCTAATTTTCAACATTATTTTATTGGGGACAACTCTTTTCTGCATGTTTGTTTTTATCGGCAAAGTTTTGTTCTTCAGCTTTGAACGTGATGCATAGCCTCTAACCTTGGAACGTGATGCAGAGGCTCTAAACTTATCATCAATAAAATGTTTGTTTTTTGAAACAATTTTTGTCCATTCATTTAGAATCTGGTGGCCAGAGTTCTAGTCTGCATAATTCCTTATAATAGAAAGTTTGCCTTCAGATTTATTGCCAAAGGAATATTGACTACGGAATCCTTGCTAATATATTGTTTGCCTATAGTATATTTGTCCCTACAATCTGTGTGCCTGCGCGAGATAATTGAGCTTTCATCACATTTGGAAGTGACGCAAGCGTTACATTTTTTATATATTCCTAAACGGAGGGATGCTTCACAGTAAATTATTTCTTTACTTCCTTATTTATTAATTATATTAATATTCAGTTTCATTAATTTTTTCGCTCTTTTCGGGATTTTTTTTAACGTTTGGAAGTAATGAGAGCGTTCTATTTTATATATTCATAAACGGAGGGATACTTCACAGTAAATTATTTCTTTACTTTATTCACTATTTCCTGAAACATTTTCTAGACCTGATCAAATTTCTCCAAGAGAAAATGAATGCATGAGACGTTTAACAAAATTTCCACAAGTCCACTCGATTATTTCGATAGCATTCGGCACTGCGGAGTTCGACTAAAGTCACTAAACCGTCAAAACGTAACGCATTAATTCAAATAGCTATCTGATTATTTGTATCGGAATCTCAAAATTGTATCTTAATATTATACATCCGAATAATTTCACATGGAATATATGTATACATAAAAATTAATTCCAAAATTATGGAGACTTGAAATGAATAATGCTCATGTTACTGCAGGTAATCTTAATGAATGATGGTGTTGTTACAAGATTTTCATGTTGACAAAATTATTTTGTTACCCATCAAAATTGATTTTCAAGAAAAACATTTTTTTGCCTGTTATACCTGTATTGATCATCATTTTTGCATAATATTACAACTGAAATATCACTTTGAATGAGATTCAATTCATAACATTCTGTATATGTCAACTTTTACATCGTAAACTATATATAATGATATAATACAACAACAATATGTCAATGCATCAACCGGGTTCCGAAGAAATTTACAAGGAGATTGGAAATACATTTGTAAAAGCAATGTATCAGTTTTTGGAGCCTAACGGCTAAGTTCATGGAATAATTGAAGTTCCGATCGATTAATTATTTGTAGTGCTCCTAATTACATCGTTTTCTAGAAGCGTGACACATTAGCATCCCAATTAACGATGTCAAGTAAAATGGTCACATTTAATACCTAGTTATTTCAACCTACTCTCTGCACCACCTGCAGTAATAAAGGTATTACTGCGCCCCAATACCTTCATACTTCCTTTTATTTCAAATGAAGTATTTTCATACTTGCAAGTATTTCTAAGCCGCGATTGTTGTGACCAACTGTCATGGCCGCCGCGCTGCTGGTGTCGCTGAAAACGTGTCGTGAGGCGGCGCAATAGTCTATATATTCTCTTCATCACCCAGTACCTGGCTACCTGCAGCTGCATGAAATTTCAATGAGCATTGATTCAGTTGACCCTAGATTATTAGTCCATAGAAAATAACCACAACATAGAAAACAACAATATTCGAGCATAATATTACGAATTAATAAACAACAATATTCGAGCTATAAAATTACTGAAATTTTATGCCAATTGAATCTTTTGCGGACATTAGTTAGACGATCACACCGTTGAATAAGACTTACATCCCTAAAATATAAAAGGCGTAGACATGTCTTTAATGCACTTAAAACCTAATAAATTTGTAAATTTGTGACATTGACCATCTCATTATTCGGCAATTTAATTGAGAGGTTGGTCTCCCCTTTCACTTCAAGTTCGCCACCGGAGGCTGACACAGCTACAATTGTTGTTGGCGTAATTTCTGCACGCTGTTTCACTGCGTTAGGGTACGCACACAGTGAAAGCAGGTTGCCAGCGTGCTGGTTACCTGCTCAGGCTGGCACCTGAAACCATAGAATACAGAAGCCTATTCGTACAGGTTTTCACTCTGAACACTTACATTATTATCCTATGTTCATTCTTGTGGCAGGTTGGAGCAGGTTGCCCGCGCTGGCAAACCTGCTTCCACTGTGTGCGTACCCTTAGGCTTCACTAATGTGCCTGTACTGCCAGTATCTACGAACCCATCTATTAGATCATCATTCACGACGAGTTTAATGAATTCATTTGTTACTCACACGAGGTGGTTTTGGCAGGCGAGAAGGGACGACAAAGTTGACGATACTTACGTTTAAGATTTCCTAGCTTCAATGAGTTAGGCCAGATATACCTAATGTTGACGTTTAATTTCTTATGCTTAAATTTGCCAACGCTGAGTTCGCTTCAATTACAGTTATAGCGTCAACGCTAGGTTGGGATTCGATTCCGATAATAGTGCCAACGCGGGGTTGGGCTTGCTTACTGTTCTAGTGCCAACGGCTGTGGTTGGGCTTCGTTTACGATTAGTGCCAACGACTGCGGTTGAGCTTGGCCTACGATTACGGTACCTGAAGTCATGAGGTTGGAGGTTAAGTTAAGATGACAATATCTTAAAGTTACCTAAAATACTTCAAATTAAAAGAGATGAAATGAATCACAAGTCGGCAGTGATGACGTGTAGACGACGCGGGGAACAAAGTAGTCTCCCGCGCAAATTTTCTATGAGATTGTGTCGAAGAAAACGGAACAGCGTCTTAGCTACACAAGTACCATTTATATAGTCACAACAGTAAAGATGAGGCAAATGGCCTAGAAAATATCAAATCAGTACATCCACTTATGCGACAAATAATCCCTTTTCAAAATAGTTACTCCTAGACGAATTCATACTAGAAAATAGATATCAACTATGATATAGTCAAGAGCCTATGAGCAGGTGTTCGTGATCATGGCCGCCAATATATCGGCGCGGCATGACTCGCAGTGACAACTTTAATATGCACTCAATAACATGAATTTAGAATCACAATTCTGGAATCATACAAAGTGAAGGCAATAGAGGAATACATGGATACAATAGGCTTAATAAGCTATAACATCATAAAATAAGGTAACACCGGGAGGGCTTGTGGAGCCACACATTACTCGCTCGAGCTGTAGACACACACTGACGCTGTTAGGAATAGGAAGTAGGAACGCGGGAACCTCACGAGGGCTCGCTGCGTTCACATGGTTATAATTTCGTTGATCTTTGCGATATTTTCCACTCACTTGTGGAGTGAACGCATGGATGAGTGAAGATTTGAAGAAAGAATAGATGAGGATAAGGAAAACTTAGTGCGTTGAATCTGACGAGTGACGAACGACGTCACACTACCACCGGGCACACCCGACTATGTACCATCAGTGTTAGGACGATGTCACACTAGGCGGGCCGCGGGCAGCCGACGGTGGCACTCGGTGGCACTGTACTGGTTTATTCGTTATAGTCTGGGTATGCGTGAGGTACTCTCTCTCTTGGTGCATGAGGGTTATGTGTTTTTGTTTGCAGATGCTACATCTTGGTTGTGCGGTGCAGTCAGTTGCAAAGTAGTGGCCAAGACTGTAACAACAGAGTTGATGATCATTCACTAGCCTTTGCTTATTTGTGTACTGGAGTCGTTTGAATGACCTGCAGTCGAGTATCGAGTGGCTCGCAGCCTGGTGCACCCGACATCTCTTCTGGAGGCTTAGGTAACGTTGAGGGGGTTTGGACGATACGGCTGAGATACGATCGAGGCCTGTTCAGTTGCTGGGTATTAGAAGGACGATGTCAGCGAGACTGACACAACACTCCACTCCGTTCAGGAGCCAATGTTGGCGAGATTGCCGCCACACTCCGTGGAGGAGCCGATATTGGAGAAACTGACCCCGCGCTCCATGGAGGAGCTGATGTCGGCGGGGTTGACACCGTGTTCCATGGAGGTGCCGATATCGGCGGGGTTGACATCGCGCCCCATGGAGAGGCCGATGTCGGCATGACTGACACCGCGCTCCGCGGAGGAGCTGATGTCGGAAAGTCTGACACCGCGCTCCATGGAGAAGCTGATGTCGGCAGGACTGACACAGCGTTCCATGGAGGAGCAAATGTCTGCAAGGCTGACACCGCGCTCCGCGGAGGGNATATACCTAATGTTGACGTTTAATTTCTTATGCTTAAATTTGCCAACGCTGAGTTGGGCTTCAATTACAGTTATAGCGTCAACGCTAGGTTGGGATTCGATTCCGATAATAGCGCCAACGCGGGGTTGGGCTTGAAATTGATTACTAGTATGACAGTGCCAGCGCTGGGTTGAGTTTTGTTTACGATTAGTGCCAACGACTGCGGTTGGGCTTGGCCTACGATTACGGTACCTGAAATGATTAGATTAGAGATAAACTTTAGAGGACAATATCTTAAAATTACCTAAAATGCTTCAAATTAAAGGAGACTGAAAGAAACGCATGTCGGCACTCGCCAGTAAGCAGTAAGGCTCGGTGAGGCTGTAAGCGGAGAACGAAGTAGTATCCCTTAAAATTTTTTCTATGAGATTGTGTCGAAGAAAACAGACCGGCGTCTTTGCTACACATTCGAATGATTATAATGGCAATGGTGAGGAAAATGGCCTAGAAAATATCGAATCAGTACATCCAGTTATGCGACAAATAATCCTTTCAAAATAATTACTCCTAGACGAATTCATACTAGAAAATAGATATCAACTATGATATAGTCAAGAGCCTATGAGCAGGTGTTCGTGATCATGGCCGCCACTATATCGGCGCGGCATGACTCGCAGTGACAACTTTAATATGCACTCAATAACATGAATTTAGAATCACAATTCTGGAATCATACACAGTGAAGGCAATAGAGGAATACATGGATACAATAGGCCTAATAAGCTATAACATCATAAAATAAGGTAACACCGGGAGGGCTCGTGGAGCAACACATTACTCGCTCGAGCTCTAGACACGCACTGACGGTGACGCTGCTAGATAGCTAGTAACGCGGGAACCGCTTGACTCTTGAGGGCTCGCTGCGTTCACATGGTTACAATTTCGTTGATCCTTGCGATATTTTCCACGCACTTGTGGAGTGAACGCAGGGATGAGTGAAGATTTGAAGAAAGAATAGATGAGGATAAGGAAAACTTAGTGCGTTGAATCTGACGAGTGACGAACGACGTCACACTACCACCGGGCGCACCCGACGCTGTACCATCAGTGTTAGGACGATGTCACACTAGGCGGGCCGCGAGCAGCCGACGGTGGCACTCGGTGGCACTGTACTGGCTTATCCGTTATAGTCTGGGTATGCGTGAGGTACTCTCTCTCTCTCTTGGTGCATGAGGGTTATGTGGTTTTGTTTGCAGATGCCACTTCTTCTTTGTGTGGTGCAGTCAGTTGCAAGGTAGTGGCCAAGACAGTAACAACAGAGTTGATGATTATTCACTAGCCTTTGCTTATTTGTGTACTGGAGTCGTTTGCATGACCTGCAGTCGAGTATCGAGTGGCTCGCAGCCTGGTGCACCCGACATCTCTTCTGGGGGCTTAGGTAACGTTGAGGGGGTTTGGACGATACGGCTGAGATACGAGGCCTGTTCAGTTGCTGGGTATTAGAAGGACGATGTCAGCGAGACTGAAGCAACACTCCGTTCAGGAGCCAATCTTGGCGAGATTGCCGCCACACTCCAATTGCCGCCAATGTTGTGGACAATGTTAGAAAATTTGTATTAGTGAGTAACAATGCTAAACTATAATTAGCTGAATACGTATTTCGAAAATGAGAATTTAGGGCTAGCTCCAGAAAACGAGCATAGCCTTAGGGTCTTATTTTTCATATATCTAGGAGAAGAATAAGTGTCTAATTATAAGCCTTCCGAAGATCTTGGCGACACCTTTGACTTCATTAAATCATAAAATAATTAAATTATTAACTATTGTTAATTATTAACCATTCATATATGATTAGCCTCCTCCCGTAGGTGGCTGGTCAGGATGTCGTGGATTATGTATAGTACGGTAAGCCTAGCTCACCTTCGTGTCTCATAACCTTGGTCGTCATAGGTCGTGGAGCACACATTTCAAGGCCGGCGAAAACGATATAAGATTATCCTGTTGCTCTACGTTGCACTTTTTTGAGGGCGGCAATGTCTTCGGGCGTAGCACGAATTATAAATTAGTTACTCATCAAATAATATACTTTCTAGAAAGAGGATAAATAGGAGAAATTAATTTTTTTTAATATTAATTGTATCATTTTAGTGATTACAGCACATAATTTCTCAAAATAAATTTTACTTCAATGCAATAATCTTATAATCACCATATATGATTCTGAGATTACTCAGTGAATTTATCAAGAAGTAGTTGGAATTTTGTCCCCCACACAAATTCAACTTGTGCCAATATGTAGGATGTCATAAATATTCAAAATAGACTTTTTGGGGCCCAGATGGCCGAAAGAAAAGTGATGAAGGATATTACATCCCTCATTTAAACGTTGGGCCACAATAGCCCCCAGAGGCTGCGACGCGTTCATTTCTTGAAAGATTGAGTACATAACAGCGTTGTTGAGGGCAATAATGGCAGAGCAGAGAGCACAGTGGTAGAGTCAGCCGAACTAGTGGCGGAGTTGAGGGAACACCAACAATGTCGGCGGCATGACTCGCAGTGACAACTTTAATATGCACTCAATAACATGAACATGGCACTTCCAATTCTAGAATCATACACATTAGCGAACGATAGAGAAATATAAGCCTAATGAGCTATAGCAACATATTAAGGGTAACACTGGGAGGGCTCGTGGAGCAACACATTACTCGCTCGAGCTGTGGACACACACTGACGCAGTGACGCTGTGAGGAACGCGGCCACCTCTTGAGGGCTCGCTGCGTTCACATGGTTATAATTTCGTTGATCTTTGCGATATTTTCCACGCACTTGTGGAGTGAACGCAGGGATGAGTGAAGATTTGAAGAAAGAATAGATGAGGATAAGAAAACTTAGTGCGTTTAATCTGACGAGTGACGAACGACGTCACAAAAGCAATTGAATTCAATCAATCGTCAGTTACGGAAAGATCGGATTCAAAAGGCCGGATACCTTGTGGAATCAAGTCACGAAACTTACAAGAATCTGCAACATGCCATGGGCCTATTTTCTCAGCGCCGACACTTCCATAAGAAAATTTTTTCGTTGGTCAAAAGCTTAAGGAACCATCATTTGGCGTTCAATACCTTAGATAGTTCTTTCTAAGCGTATATTTTTTATATGAATTGCACCACGTATAGTAATTGATTGATTTGAATGCTACGCAGGAGCGGGACGCGGCCAAGCAGGCGCTCAGGAGCGCGTCGGGACGCCAGGGCGCCGCTACGCAACAGGTACGCATGCCTTCGGTGTCTACACTAAATAAAACTGAGAGGGTCATTACTCATTAGTCGTTACCCAAATAGCGATGTTTATTTTATATCATTATGTTTTATCAGTTCATCTAAACTAAGCCAGTCTGGCCCGACTTGATGAGCTTAGTATTAAGTGTTTACCGATTATTGGCTCTTAAACTGATACATGGACTGAATATGACAGTAATCTAACAGCAGAATTAAGGACTTGACACGTAATGTTTTCTCAAAGTCAAACATTTCATATGAACTTATTGCCTATTCTAAATGAATACTAAAAAAATTCCTGGAATTTGTCATATATTGTAAAATCTAAAATGCGACCAGGAAATTGACTCCTGCGCAGGAGCTGCCGGCGGGCTACCGTCGTGCGGTGGAGGAGCTCGAGTCTGAAGCGACGCAGCTGCGGCAGAGCAGCCGTGAGTGGCAGCAGCGATATGCGCAGCAGCAGCGGCTTCTGAGATCCTGCCAGTCAAGGGTAAGCCATCGTTATTATTTGTAGATTTAGTTCGCACAAGATGTCCGTTACTGCAGCCATTTCACACACCCGCTTTTGCGCAGCGCTGTAGCTACGGGTAGGTTGTCTACCTTGACCATCGAGAGCCTGGAGTGGTAATCGTTTCCCATTCTTGTGGTTCAGGAGGAAACATTACTTCTCTTTTTTTGCGAATTTGTGCAAATTCGGAAAATTTTAATTTCAATTGAAACCGTTCCAGTTCACAGAAATGTCAACTTTTTGATGAATGAAGTCGCGAATCAGTCGTACATATACAAGAGCGAATTAAAATATTCCGATTTGGCGTCTCAGTTGGGAGACAGCGAGATGGCTAAGATGGCCTCAGAGACAAAGCTGCGGCTCCAGATTGAAGAGCTGCGAGAGGAGCAGGATGAGTTGCAGCGTCAGCACGACGAGTTGCTCGAGGAACACCGCCAACAGACACGGCAACTGCAGGACCTCATGCAGCTCAACGAGCAGCTCCAGCTTAGGAAGGTCGGTCTCTAAGCCGTCTCCCATATACAGAATTAAAATCTAAAGCTTGGTATTCCTCCTTAGCGAGCAGAGATGTGGAAAATATGGGACGAATATTCCGTGTTTGAAAATATCTAGAATATATCTTTCAGAATAAGAAAAGAATGTCGAAAGAGAATGTGTGTCATTAAAGATGCACCGTATGTGTTGTGCGCGATTGAAACAAAGTGCGGACGTTCCAATAAATACTCGAAAAGCGAGATCTCAAACACTTGAATAAAATCTAGTGACTTGATAAAATATAAAATTGTATCAACTGTAGATAAGAATATGATTGACAGAGCGAGCTGCAGGGCGTGGTGGCGACGGCAGGCACGAGGCTGCAGGAGGGCGAGACCCGCGCAGGCGAGAGCGTCAGGCTCGCCGACGAGGCGCTCGTCGAGAAGGACGCTGCGCTGCTCAGGGAGCGACACCTCAAGGGTGGGGGCTGGGGAAATGTGCACGTGTAAATAGGAAGTGGGAAGTGAAGTGTGTAAGGGTGGGGAAGAAGGAGAGTGAGAGGAGGCAAGGAGGGTAAATTTGTGGAAGGCGATGAAGGATGGAGGCGAAATGAAACATATACATGAATCAGAGAGCAGGTCACACTCAGTCCTCAGCACATAAAAGGTTCATGCACCGAATCTAAACAGCACTAGAATTGAATTATTTCTCCTACTCAAAAAATAAATTCTTTTTTCTGTTTCTGTAACGAAGCATTGGCACTCAACTATTTGTATAATTGATTCTATATAAAAATCCATAATCTTAGACACTTCTTCAAGAAGTTTAATCTCGAAATAATAATATCACACAGAGAAGATAGTGCGTCTGAAACAAGAACTGGAGAGCATCAAGGCAACAGCGACAGAGAAAAGTCGTCACCAAATGAACAAAAGCAAAGACCAATACAACGAGAGCATCCAGAGGATATCGCACGACCTAGCCTTGACGAAACAAGTGCGTATATAATGTCGCCATTATAGGAAACAAGAACCACGCAATGAAAATTTTCAGTAAAAGCGAGTGATAGAGCTCACATGTGCGAAAATTTCACGACGAAAAAACATTACATATGTAGTTGAATATACTGGCACTGTTAGGCAAAAAGATCAATATTCTGAAGTAGACGTTTGTTTACATGATGCAAAGACAATCATAAGGTCATGATGTAGATGTACAAATTCTTGTCACGTACTGCCAATGGAGCTTGCAATCGGTATAATTCAAATCCTAATTATCGTCGTTACAGAGAAATGAAAAAATGAAGGCAGAAAAGGATCTGCTAGCAGAGCAGCTGCAGGAGACTCAAGCTGCAGCAGACTCCACCAAGGATGGTCTGCAGCACGAGCTCCAGCAGCTCAGGCACGAGGCTGCAGAACTCCGGCAGAGAATAGCAGAGCTGAACGCGCAGTGTGCAGCCTCTGCCAGCAGAGAACAGGCTGCCAGAGTGAGGGAGGAGCGCGTGAGGGCACTGTGAGTGAGGGGAGTGTGAGTGAGGGGAGTGTGAGTGAGGGGAGTGTGAGTGAGGGGAGTGTGAGTGAGGGGAGTGGGAGTGAGGGGAGTGTGAGTGAGGGGAGTGGGAGTGAGGGGAGTGTGAGTGAGGGGAGTGTGAGTGAGGGGAGTGTGAGTGAGGGGAGTGTGAGTGAGGGGAGTGAGGGGAGTGTGAGTGAGGGGAGTGTGAGTGAGTAAAGAGTGAGTGAGGGGAGTGTGAGTGAGTAAAGAGTGAGTGAGGGGAGTGTGAGTGAGTAAAGTGTGAGTGAGGGTAGTGTAAGTGAAGGTAGTGTAAGTGAAGGAAGTGTAAGTGAATGTTAGGGAACTTTAAATGAGATAACGGACGAAAAAACTGATAGAATTTCAAGTAATCCAATTACACTCTTCAGTCACAATTTTACCGACTTATCAATGTTTAGACATATTTAAAATATATATATATCTGAAAATCATAATCGTGCCAAGCCTTTTTAGCTGATTTTCTCATTTATGGAAAAAATTTACTATTGTGCTCGCCATGTCAGTGTCAGTCTGTCTGTCCGTCCGTCTGTCTGTCTGTCTTATCTGTCCGTCCGTCCATGACCTCAAGTTTTCGTCGACGAGAAAATGCGCTCTCTGTCACTCACTGCAGTGAGTACTGAATTATATTTTTTTCGATTCAGTTTCTGCGAAGCAGCACAGAAGCAAGAGCAGCAGCTGAAGCAGCTAGAGGAGGAAGTATCGCGCCTGAGGGCTGAGGGCGAAGAAGCGCGAGCAAAGCAGCGCGCCTTGGAGCGCGCGCGACACACCGACGCATCGCACACGGCAGACCTGCGCCGCGCGCTAGAGCAGAAGGTCGTCAGACTCGAACTTTGTCTCAGGTGCGCATTCCAGATTTTCTGGAAGTGATCAAAACACCAGGGGAAATTTACTTCAAAAAGACATTAGGCTTAAACTAATGACTTTTACAAGCTTCTGTCAACTGACGGTACGTAGTAACTACAGTCACCAGACATATTGAGTGCACAGGACTAAACCCGATATTCAAATGGTACCACTGGAATGGCATATCATTCTTCATTTCAGAAAAATTCGACAGTTTATCCTCCACTTAAAAATTTGTTACGATGCGTTCTATTTTTCATCACCGGATTACGATACCGTTTGCATGAACCTATAGGTATTCTCTACATTAAATATAAGGAAGATTATAGCTCATAGAAAATTGTCATTTAACTAAGGCGAAAGGGCTTCTCAGACACATTAATTTGTCTAGTGAGAAAAAGAAGCAGCGGGAGGACCTGGAGAAGCAGCATCAAGAGCAGCTGTGCGGCCTGAGAAGCAACCAGGAGCAGCTCACGTCTAAGCTTCACGCGCGCATCCAAGAGAAGCAAGACACGTGCGCCAGGTGGGCCAAACCAGCCTCAGCTGCCCTTGTGTCTATCATTAATAGCAATGAAACAGACTCGCTACAGCAATATCAATCTGACATGTCGCGAATGAAATTATAATTTGTCAACACAGGAAGCTGAAATGTAACTGCGAAGTAATGTTATTCTTTTTGGTCATAATCAAGTATATGTATAACCAGAGGTGGGCAGTAGCGCGCTACATGTAGCGGCCGCTACATTTCCAGTAGCGGTAGCGGTAGCGGCGCTACATTTAAGCAATTGTAGCGGTAGCGCCCGCTACATATTTAAGTAGCGATACGAGGTTTTGCCGCTAGAGCGCTACCGCTACATTTATAGATAAAGCCTTTATATTTTACTCAATAGTATTAAATATTGTTTAAAAACCAGCATGGTACATACATAATATAAATTACAAAATAAAACTGTACGAAAGATTTCGGTGTAATGTTGTTAACCTCAGCCTGTTACTAGTGTCAACATGTTAGTTGTTACTTGTTAAGTTGTTACCAGTTACCACTTACAGGTATTTTTCATGTTTCAGTTTGCTTACAGTTATTTTTACACAGTTATTTTTTTGTTTCACCCTCCCTACATGGCTGTCTACTTTAATCTACCAATCTCAAAAATAATCCACACATATATACAAATAAAAGACTGATTTTTTATATGTATATGTGGATAATTTTTGAGATTGGTAGATTAAAGTAGACATCCATGTAGGGTAAGTAAAACATAAAAATAACTGTAACTTTTATTTACTGTATCTAACCCGTACTAGTTCGGTTAGGTTAATTGCGATAAAGTTGCATTGATATGTTTTGAAAATGTTTTATTATCATTAAATGTTTATGAGGAAATCCAAATAGCAGAACAATAAATATTTAGAGATTTCCAATAATTTTGACCATTGTAGCGGCTAATGTAGCGGCGCTACATTTTACTGTAGCGATAGCGGTAGCGCTCGCTACAATCTAGTGGGTGTAGCGGTAGCGGTAGCGCCCGCTACATTTAGAGCATGTAGCGGTAGCGCTAGCGCCGCTACATATCAAAGTAGCGCTGCCCAGCTCTGTAGTATAAAATTGACTGATGGCAGATTTTAACAAGACAATGACCAATGACACTGACAAACAATCGTGTGCCCAGGTTATTGCAGGAGCGGGAGTCCCTGACACGAGCGCTGGAGAGCAGACTCTCCGCCGCCACCTCCATGGCCGCGAGCACGGCTGCGGAGCTCGCCCAACAGAAAGCTCATGCTGAGCACTACAAGAAAAAACTTGATGCCGCAAATAACAGGTTACGTTGATTGAATGAAGGATTGAATGTCCTATTGATTGAAGGTTGTCCGTTGATTGAAGGTTACTGGATTGAATGTCCTGGTTATGCTTATTATAACTGGCCCCGAGACCACTGGCAATGGAATAGAGGTGATACTGGTCACACTTATTATTTAGAGCATTAATCATTACCGGGTAACATGGTCACTTGGTCAGCAAGATATTACAGGGGAAGAAACTCCTAAAATGTTTTTGGCATTGATTGAGAGACGGAAAATTGTTCAGAAATTCATGTAATGATGAACAGTAAATGCTTCACATTCAGAGATCAATTGAAATAATGCAAACACATGGAAATACATTATATATATTACGATATTTCATGGCGAAACTTGACATTAAACTGAGTTAAAAACAGCAACATTTTTTGCTTTATAGAAAAATGATTGTTCCTATTAGAACTAGGTATAAAAACTAATACATTTTAAAATGGAAAAATTCAAAACTACATATCTTTATCAAAGTGGCTTAACACCACATAAGAATGCAGGACCTACAGAAAATAAGGGATGAAATACCTATGCTACTGATACATACTATAACTTTCTTCATTTTTCCGCAGGCTGCAAGAATATCAACAACAGCTCGAGCAAATTGTCAACTCATAAGTTGTACATCCAAGTGACAGGTTTTCATAAAATTGAATAAAAGGCTAACTCATGGATGATGCTGTTGTTACTATTTTTCACTAACCTTTAATTCACTATTGCTTGCTGACTGGACAGGATCATTGCTTTTAAGGAACTCTAGTCGCTGTTGTTTGAGCTCTGCTACCCATGACATAACTCTAGGGTGTCTAAATTTCCCTTCTGTGCTAAGAAAAAATTCTTCTAGCCAGCCTGGTTTGTTATTCGAAACTTCATACTCAAAAGCCTGAAGTATCATGTCAAACTTATCCAAGTCTTTCACCAGATGAGATTCAGGAGTATTCTGGGCTTCATATTCCTGAAATGAGGAAAAACATTATAACAAAACATAGAACTGCAATGCATGATCATTCTGCAAAAACTGATGTAAGCTTTAAAAGATAACCTCATAATTAAAGTAATATGTGTATCAATAAATAAGCAAGCTAGTAAGAGTAACAAATGACACAGATATATCAATTAATCTATATTTTTGCTTTCATTTTACCAATGTTATCTGCAGGTGAAGTAATATGTTTAAGAACTGCACAGAAGGAGCAAAATGAAAATAAAATAAAAAAATCTCTATAAGCATAAAATAAATACATGGTTATCAAACTTAAAGATTAAGACCAGGAATATTCTAATTTTCAAGAAATTTGTAATATTGACATTTGTTTGACATTTGACATATATTGTTTGACATTTGTAAAATTGATTAGAATTAATGTGAATTCATGTAAATAAATGAATATTATATGAACCTTGCAATATTACTTGATGTTATCAATAAAAAATCTAAACACACATGTAGGTATATCTACCTTTAAAAGATTGAACATTTCAGAGCCAACAGGAGGGTTTAGGAGACTGGTGAGAGAAGACATGGTGCTCATCTCTCTTTTGTGTTTATCTTCATCACTAACACCACAGTGTGGTGTGATGTCTCCCACTTCACACTCAGCCAAGTCATGTACTAGACACATCCGCAACACTCTGCAGCATTAGTTCTTCATTAGTTCTATTGCGCATGTACATCCAAATTTAACCTTTAAGCAAAACAGCAAATAGTGTATGTATGTAGTTTATCTCTCTCACACTCATTTCACATAAAGGAACATATTCATAAATCACAGTCCAATGCAGACCATCATGAAATGATGGCCAAAATCATCAGATAAAGAAACAACATATCATTGAAGGGAATATGATTTTCACCTGAAACTTAAAGTATCTTCACAAAATACAAAAGTGAAATCACAAAAATAAGAAATGGTAACTTTCCAGGTGAAAATGAAGAGAAAATTGCATTAATCAATTTACAACAGGTCATGAATATACTAGTTGGGTGGAAGCTTATTCAAGAATTTGTAAAAAAAAGTGAGAACATTGAATTGTGAATTTTTAGTAGGAAGATAGTTTGCAAGGAAAGGTCCTCACTTGTTTGTGTCTACATTATCACTATGATCGAGCATCATGGCAGCAACAGCCATGCGATACATGTGGCCACTCACAGTCTCGGGATGTGGAATGCCTTTCATCACCCATCCAGTGCGCTCCAAATGCTGAAATAACATGTGGGCATACATTAATTGCAAGAGAAATTCTGAATAATCATTTCTTTTTTGAACATATATATTACAGATATATATCAATGCTCAACTCTAGATACAATAATTAAAGCCAAAATTCTTGATGGGAAACATCACTTAATCAAACCATAATCAAATAATCAAACCAAAAATCTTACTATACATTTCTGCTAAAATGTTTGAATTTCTATCTCATTTTTAGAGGAATTCAGCCATTTATTAGATTGAATATGAAATTTTGTAGAAACTTTTCTCTTTATCAAGCCACCAAACTATCAAACACATAGGAACATACCTATCACTCATGTAACTACATTAAACTGTGGACAAAGCAGTTTGCTAGGCACAACACAATAGTTGTTGCTGGCATTTAGAACACAAAAAATTACAGCATGGCCCTTGGTACAAACAATCAAAGAATATTAGTAGAAATTGAACTAAACTCATTTTTTCAAATTAAATATTTTATTATATTTATAACCAATAACAAAGGAAGAAGCATTAATCATAGAATGAATAGTGGCTTGTGAATGTGCATTTTCCTTATGACATAGAAAATGTATTAGCACAAGATTTGCAACTCAACATAGTATAGATTCAAAATTTTAAAGTAATCATGACCATATGATGAAAACTACAATAACACCATTGATGGCAGAGCTAATTGTAGGTACTAATAAATACATAACATCATGATCAATTATAGACTGCAAAAACTTTGCATTTGAAAACTTTGCACAAGTTTAGTGCAAATTAAATAATAATAAATAATGCAGTCGAACCTAGAAAACAGAGGTGGCAAGCATAGCAATTTTGTCCAATTCTATCATACACCAGTGATAATACCACTGGTAACTAATTAAATATCCTGATGGAATATAGAACCAAGAATTTCTCATAAGTAGAAAGAATTTAATCTTACCTTTAGTTTAGAGACCTGTTTAAAAAATTCCAAGCAATTTTTTGAGTTACTCATTATGGTTGAACTGTTTAGGCACCAAGTTGGGTTTTAATTAAGGTACTGCACAAAAAATATTATTAAGCAAATACAAGGCAGTGGAGCACAGGGTACCTGCAACAAGTCTAGGAGCAGCAGACTAGCCCACCAGGGGCATATATATACATGTATCATATTCATAATGGAAAGGAAAACCCACCTTCAAGGAAACATGAATTACCACCTAAAATATATTTATATTGCACCCAGTGACCCAGTATGCTATTCATCAAGGAAATTATATTTATAATACTTTTTAAAAATGCAATTTGTACAATTGGATCACCAAGTATTAAATATGAACAATCTATAACCAGAGGTGGGCAGTAGCGCGCTACATGTAGCGGCCGCTACTAGCAGCCGCTACATTTTCTGTAACGGTAGCAGTAGCGGCTCTACATTTAAGCAATAGTAGCGGTAGCGCCCGCTACATATTTAAGTACCAATACTAGGTTTTGCCACTACAGCGCTACCGCTACATTTAAAGATAAAGCCTTAGATTTTACTTAATGGTATTAAATATTATTTAAAAACCAGCATGATGCATACATAATATAAATTACAGAATAAAACTGTCCGAAAGATTTTGGTGTAATGTTGTCAACCTCAGCCTGTTACTAGTGTCAACATGTTAGTTGTTACCAGTTACCTTACAGGTACCGTAAAATGGGGTACCTTAGATCACTTCTAGTTTTTTTAACGAAATCCCCCAAAACTCAAAAACTATTTGACATAGAAAAATTTTGTCAATGGGCATTAAAGGCCTAATACCGAGGCTACATAACACAATAGAAAAGATAAAAAAATTATGCATATCTAATAGGTTAAAAAATGAAAAATGTGACCCATGAAAAAGAGCTATTATTTAAAGCCTGTCATAGAACCCCCTCCAACTTTTTTATTTTTTGGTAAAATAATTCCAGGTTTTGGTGCATTGTAGTAGAACATTCCTAGTTACATATGCAAATGACAAATTTGAGGAAAGTGTCATAGTTTGCAAATGGGGGGCAACACCCCCAAATGGGGGAACTTAGCCCACCTAATGTCAGCCCTGACGGGGTAACATAGACCGGCTTGGAAATTAATTTAAAATTATCTTATATAATATATTTCATGTTTAATACACCTACTAATGTTTTTTCTTTATGTTTCAGACTCTACAGAGTTTTATATATGGTAATTTTAACTTAATTTCCAAGCCGGTCAATATTACCCCTTCACGGCTGACATTAGGTGGTCTAAGTTCCCCCATTCGGGGGCAGCGCCCCCCATTTGCAAATTATGACACTTTCCTCAAATTTGTCATTTGCATATGTAACTAGAAGAGTTCTACTACAATGCACCAAAACCTGGAGTTATTTTACCAAAAAAATATATTCATTTTACTTTTTACCACCCAGTCTAAGATACCCCAAGAGCTGGGGTAACAAAGACCATCACTTTTTTTGAAATTACATAAAAATTATGAGAGCGAGGAGCCAGCAATTTATGGTGAGTGAACCTAGAGTATAGACCTGTATTTGGCATGTTTCAATTTAAGTTTAATTTAGCTAGTAAAAAATGGCATCATTTAAAAAAAAGTAGTCTAAGTTACCCCATTTTACAGTGCCTATTTTTTTACACGTTTTTCTTAACTCAGCTTTGCGTCTGTTTGTTTGTTGTTAAAATTGACAAAAATTACCCCACTACTGATTTTTTTAGAGATCTGAAATTTGGCATGCAGGCTATTTTCACTTAACAATTTCAGATGCAATCATAAAAACTAGCAATTAGAGACCTAAATTAGCTTAATTGAGTAAAGTATATATATATATATAGTAGGTATGACGTGCGGGCGCTCACATTATAGACGAGCAGGCGCTGACGCTGCAAATCATGGATATGTACATCAAGTCATACTTAATCAAGTCATTAGATAAAAGAAAAAATAAACTATATAAAAAACTTTTTAAAAACCATGCTTTTCATATTTAGCAATGGACTGAAAAGAGACGCTTTTTAGTCCGTGTAGCAACGGACTAAAAGGAGAAAATAAAATACTTAAAAAAATCCTCTTAAAAAACACATTTTTCTTGTGGACTAAAGAGTAGAAAATAAATTATGGCTCGCCCCAAAAAACGTAGGTCAGGCTCTAAGCTCACCATCAAATTTCCAAAATTTGTGTGTTGTGTGCTTTTTGCTTTGATCATAAATCTGCCCGACACATGTTTTTTGGGGCGAGCCATAATTTATTTTCTACTTTTTAGTCCACAAGAAAAACGTGGTTTTTTAAAAAGCCTTTTCTAAGTATTTTATTTCATGTTTCAGTTTGCTTACAGTATTTTCGCAGTTATTTTTATGTTTCACCTTCCCTACATGGATGTCTACTTTAATCTACCAAAAATATCTTCTACCTCAAAAATAATCCACATATATATACCTACAAATAAAAGACGGATTTTTTATATGTATACGTGGATAATTTTTGAGATTGGTAGATTAAAGTAGACATCCATGTAGGGAAGGTAAAACATAAAAATAACTGTAACATTTCTTTACTGTATCTAACCCGTAATAGTTCGGTTAGGTTAATTGCAATAAAGTTGCATTGATATGTTTTGAAATTTTTTAATTATCATTAAATGTTTATGAGTATAAATCCTAATAGCAGAACAATAATATTTAGAGATTTCTAATAATTTTGGCCATGGTAGTGGCTAATGAAGTGGCACTACATTTTACTGTAGCGGTAGCGCTTGCTACAATCTAGTGGGTGTAGCGGTAGCGCCTGCTACATTTAGAGCATGTAGCAGTAGCGGCCGCTACATTTCAAAGTAGCGCTGCCCAGCTCTGTCTATAACATTCATAACATGAACTACGTCCATTGCCATGTTGCCTGCTGAGTCTGAGTGCTGACTGTCCCTATCCTTGTTCTGATCATTTTCATCCTGACTAAACTATTGGATCTCATTAATACTTGCCAAAAAAAGAACCCTAATTGAAGTCCTGTTTCCCTTGAAACTCAATTACAACCAAAACCTGCTATCCTCATCAAAATTCATAATGAACCAGTCCCATAAATGAAAGCCTAATAAAATTTACAATATCTAACCAGAAATCTTTACTTGTCCAATTTTGTTAGGGATGAAATTATTTACAAAAGCAATTAAAAATGAGCCAAGTCTAAATATCCCATATTATGCCACTATGAATTGCTCTATACCTGACCACATACATCTGAAAGCTCAAAGCTGGTACTCAAAAGTCAAACCCAGCTGTAAAATATGGCCTTTTAGCTTTAGATATTGACATCTCTCAAGCTCTCTATTGAGTATCAAGCCATCTCGACCTTGAACTGGCATCCATATCCAATCATAAACTATCAATAAACACTGCAGGGTTGCACTGGCCACTGAGTCTCTGGGACCCTGCCTGGGGAGCAGGCCATGGTCATTGGTCAGGAAGATGTGCCAGGTGCGCAGGAATTTATTTTGTCATTTTAACGACCTGCGCGGTGCGCCGTACTATGCTGGTAAAAAAATGCGCCGTAAGGAAGATGTATATAAACGGGGAAATTTCTCGCGTAAATCAATCTAATTATATTTTTTTCGCGCAGGCGTTCGTGCAAATCACGGTCATCGATTCCGCGCCGCGCAGCACTCAGCGCGGGCCGCGGAGCCGTCCGACACAGTTCTGATTCAGACACAGTTTTCATCTGAATGGAATGGCAACATTGTCTGTAGATGATTTCAAGTAACGCTGAACCAGCATTGCCAGATGGTATATTTCTATACCAGATTTCACAAATCTGGTATTTTCAAAAGGTGTCTGGTATGAATATTTTAGATCTGGTATATATGCCAAAATCTGGTATTTTTCTGGTATTTTCTGACTTACTGCAAATTTACTGCATTTAGTTCCACCTCTGAAGTTTGAACTTCCTCCAGCGTAGGGGTGGATTATATTATTATTTACATGAATTGCCTTCAGAGCGGCGCGATTAGAGCTTTCCCGCCATTTTTGGAACCGCAAGTTTTCATGTCAACCAGAACTCAAACACCACAGCAGAGAGTATTTTATGCAGCTAATGAATTTTGCAAACTTTGCTGGAAGAGAGATTATTGAATTTCAGAAAAAAGGCGGGATAATTCAATGAAGGTTGGTGGCAGAGCTGCAATGATACTCTAACATAACGCACCCAGATTTGGAAACCATTATTGCTCAAATGAAGCAACAATAAACAACAGACCATTGACTTATCTTGCAAATATATATATATTCATATTATGTAGGTATCACATAGCATAATTACGCTCTGTAATTATGCCATATTGACCTAATTTGTATAGTCCATTTACGCGCATTGTTATTAGGTATTGATCGTGTCGATTTTGCCGGCCGGGAGGATGTCGGTAATGTAGTCCCAACATTGGCATGCAGGATCGTACTGTTGACATACAGGTTCATACCCTACTTGCCGCAACCAGTCCAGTCATTCATTAGAAGGCACCGATGGCACATCTAAAGCCATGTTGCATAGTGACAAACCAGAGATTTTTTAGAATCAGTTCATTTTTAATTTCTTCATTTACCTAAGATTTAAACCAATTTCTTATGTAAGATAAGGCTGGTATCCAGGATACTTTACTGGTCTACTTATAGGACTCAAAAATGAACTTGAGGGAGGATCTAAAAAA